GTCATCATCATCATTGTCGTCGTCTTCGTCGTCATCGTTATTATCATCACCATCAGCAGCAGCAGCAGCAGCATACAAATGCGAATTACCTTCTTTTGGCTTCTGTTTGTGTGCTTGAGTGTGTTTTGTTTCTTTCCCTTAGTCGTGCTTACTTTATGACTGACCATTTGGCTCTTAATCAGCACGCAAATAAATACAAAATTGAATTGCATTATTATTGAAGAATTTTTACGTAAATCTTCATTGTTGCTCTAACTCTTTTGTTATATTTACTTAGTGTTTTCCCTTTCAGAGTCATCCTTGTCTTTCCTGTACCGCCTGTATTTATCTCTTCTTTGGTGTCCCTTCCATTTATATCCCTTTGAAATTGTCTTTGTAAGAGTCTCATACCCTGCGACGCCTGAATATGGATCTCATTAACTGTGTTTCCTGCTTATAATCACTTTAATCGACTCACTACAATTTTTTCTTTCGGTATCTGCTCGTATGTTATGGTGCTGCTTGTGTGTACCCCTTCACACTGTTCTTTGCGCCTTGTATCAGGTTCGTGTACTGTGCAGATTCATATCAGGTCATTAAGCTGCCGGAGTGACGTCATAACTAGATAAATAGATAATTTTCGTGGTCTCATTCGTTACACCAACTAAACATACTAAGTTGTCATCACGACATCTCACTAATTCGAACTGATAATCTTTTCGTCTTGGAGTATATTAATTACGTAGGCCCGCGCCATGGCTCAAGCCGTTAGTCGCTGGCTTCCCGCCGCGGCGGCCTGGGTTCAATCCCGGGTCTGGTCATGTGGGATTTGTGGTGGACAAAGTGGCGCTGGGGCAGGTTTTCTCCGAGTACTTCGGTTTTCCCTGCCAATCTTCATTCCAGCAATTGCTCCACAATCACCCTCACCTATCATATGGGGCTGGTACAATAGGCCAGAAGTGGCCGCAGTACAAGGGACTTATTCCCGCCCCACTAGCAATAAAAAAATATTAATTACGTCATATCTCGCTTTGTTGCAGTTCATAATTTTAGGTTAAAGACGCTTCGTGTCTTCATAAAATCTGTAATGAAGGTCTATGTTCCACCCAATTACTCCTTTCAAGAGGCAACTTCGACAGAAACGTGAAGCACTTATTACACATGAAGAGCTAGCAACAATAGAGAGCGCGTGTAACAAGAATAACGCTTTCAAGATTTGCAACAGAGTATCGTCACGCGAATATTAGAGTCAGATTGTGAAGATAAGTCGAAGAGTTACAATCTTTTAGAGAAATAAAACTACAGGAATTCAGACAGCATCTTTCTTAATAGCGAAAGTTGTCAGTGAACCCATAAGTACATCCAAACAGACAGAAAACCTGCATAATTAAACCAAGGTCGTAAGAAAGGAACTTAAGTGCCTTTGCTTTTCGTAAGTAATTTCTGAAAGTGGTAATTAAACAGAAAATGACGAGTCCGGATATCTTGTAAAGTTCTAATCCTACTGCTTGTTGTACTGATATAGAAACGAGTCTCAAAGAAGACACTAAACTATTTTGTCAGGTCGCGATTCAATAATCCCGTTTATCAGAGTTGAGTGCTGTTAGGGCGAGGGCACATCAGAGAAACTGGCAACTTCAACGCAACCGCAATTTCCGAAAAAGTCGCCGATTTCAAGCAGGCAACTGGTTTCCAGATTAGCAGGCGCAAACTAAGGAAAATTATGCTTGATTAGTTGCCCACATCATATCAACTAGGTGTGTCTTCTGCAATGGCAAATACTATTACTGTCATAATATTGTGGTGGTTGAAACGGCGGGAGAATAGAGGACGACGACCACTTGGAAAACATTGAGATGTTAATTAATTTAATTAATGTTAATTAAGGGCAATTTATTTTAATTAAGAAATATCATTTTCACATGAGACACGAAAATTTGACATAGAGTGCAACAATTTTAGCAGGATAGAAGATGGCTGATATGGTCGTATACAGCCGAAACACATAGTGCGGAAGAAGGGTAACTGGATAACAAGTTGATTTTAAGACGGAGATATATGTGAAATAAATTATATATTATTGCAACAGGATGCTTAAATACAATATTAGGAAAAAAAAACATTGGGTGTATCCTTTCTTCCATGACAATTTAAACTCAAGTGCTTATATTGTTTCAAAATAACTTAACCAGGATGCAGACTCCTTCATCTCGTGAGAAAATTTTTCCCAAGCCAAATCTTTTGTCCTGCTTAGCATAGCCTGGGTGGCATTTGTCAGATATACCAGGCTACTGCTTAGTTAACTGCACAGAAACAAAATTAGCAGCTTCGTCAATCTTTCGTGCTATCTAAAGAAGCAAATGAATCACACAAGCACGCTAGAACATTAACACTAGGAAACTATGTGACAACGCAACTGTGAGAAAACTGGCTTGCTCAGTTGCCTGGGAGTTGAGTTTCTTAGGCTTCTGTCAGTTGCGTTGCAGTTGCGCTGCCACTTCCTCAGTTTGCTCTGCTCCATTCAGTTCAACGTGTTCAACTCAGTCTGATAACAGTTCTCGGAACCAGCGGTTCCGTTGCGGTTGGTAATTTCTTTGGTGTTCCTTCACCGTTAGCCTTGAAACAGCACTGGCCGACAGTGACGTCAAGGATGTTTTCCTGGAAACAGCAGTGTCCAAGAGTCACGTGTTAGCCGGTGCATTGCCGGTTATCTATTATATTTGCGAACAATGCTCCGCTAAACCTATGGGTTTTTTTTATTGCTAGTGGGGTGGGACTAAGTCCTTTGTACTGCGGCCACCTCTGGCCTATTGCACCAGCCCCAAATGATAGGTGGGGGTGATTGTGGAGCAATTGGTGGAATGCAGATTGGCAGGGGAAACCGAAGTACTCGGAGAAAACCTGCACCAGCACCACTTTGTCAACCACAAATCCCACTTGACCAGACGTGGGATCGAACTCGGGCCGCCGCGGTGGGAAGCCAGCGACTAACCACTTGAGCTATGGCGCTGCCTAAACCTATGTGTAAGTATGTACTCTGAGAGCTGGAAGACTGCGATTTGCCTCTCCGAATTTGGAATTAGAATTTAGTTCTGACAACAGTGTTATATATTTCCGCTTGAGTTGAGGGTTGCTGGCGGGGCCAGGGGATTATTGTATCACTGCAGGAATGTAATTAAACTTACTGTTAAATGTATCTATTAACTCCTGCTCTAAATTGACATTTACACTACTGAACCTGCTTGGGTCTTTGATTAGTATCTAGTCAGTTGTCTGGCAGGTCACATCTTGACATCACACAACCAAGAACTGTTACAGCTTCTAATTGGCTGAGCAGCCAGCACATTTGGCTCCAGACAAGGCGGGGCCTTCGGATATTTTCTGCTAATAATCTGATGAGGTTCGGATAACGATCGTGATACCTCGTCTCTATCTGCTGCTGAGAACGTCACTTCTACGCTCCGTGTGCTATTTAACCACCAGAGCAACGTCACCTGCCTCGATCACAAGCGAAGGAATTCTAAGTTTTCATGATGTCCCTGTCCCTGTACATGCCTTACTTTAGGAAAACATGTTCAGTATTCGTGAGAACCCCAGTAAGAAGACTGAGAGCCATCGAGGAGAGGCGTACCTTTTACCTCCCCACAAATTCCATGATGGCGGACTTCCGAATATTCAAGGTAAGAGAAAAGTAGTGTCATTTACAGCATAGTCATGCAGCTCTGTGAGCCGTTTTTTGGGAAGGCCGTAAACATAAGAATACACGTTGGACGTACTTCTTTTTACAATTGAAAGTGTCGACGTCATGAAGCAAGAACATTTTACAATGCGTTTGAGAATTTTCAGGTAATAGTGTACGACTGACCTAAAGGGAAATTCATCGCTGGGCTTGATTAATTAAGCACCACTCAATGAAGACTTACGACAGTGGAAGTCTAACTGCAATTTTTTTTACTTCAGCACTAGATAGATGTGAGCAGTATGAGTGAACTAAATAAAATTACAAATAAAAATGCGGATCAAAAAAATTACATAATTTTTGCTTAACCGTTGAGCGACATCCATTCATCTTCTTCTTCTCCTTCTCCTTCATCATCGTCATCACCACCTTTTTATCAACATTATCACATTTTTCTTCTTCTTCTTCTTCTTCTTCTCCTCCTCCTCCTCCTCTCCCTTATTCTTCCTCTTCTTCTACCTTGGCTAATTAGGCTCTCCGGCCTGTGCCCATTCAGAATTAAGTATATATCCATTATTATTTTAAATAATTAAAATAAAATATGCGCCAAAATTTATTGCGCAATCGTTTTGCATTTTGTAACACAGTAAAGCTACTCAGCTTCATATCGCAGGTCCTAACAAGAAAGGCTCCAGGCGACCTTGTCCCGAGGGTAACACTTCTCCGTGGGTTACACATCGAGGCTATGCAGCATCATCTCGGTACGATTATTGATGAGCTGATGAATAGGGAAGGATTCGGAAGGTAGCGGTCGTGGCCTAAAACAGGTACTATCTCAGCATTTACCTGAAGGTACTGAAGGAAACCACGATCAACCTTAATCATAATAGCCAGTGCCCTGACCGAGATTGGATTTAGCACCTTCGGAATACAAATTTAGAGCACAGCCTCTACACCAGCATGTTCGGTGATGGTACTGAAAATGTATACACGTTCTGAGATGAATTGATCCCCCATCCAAGGAGTCCTACCATAAGTATAAGCATTCACAGTTTCGAAACTAGTTCTGAATCGAAACAGGCCGGACAGCCTAAACCGAGAAGGATGAAACTGTCTTACCTTGCAAGTTTTATAAGGAAAAGTCTCTGCATAGATCCGACCCAAAAATTCCTTTGTTTTTTTGTTGTGGACAAGAACGACGATGGTTGGCCGCAAGTCTAACCGACGTGTAATTACTACAGTACGAGATGCAGGCTGAATGCTCCAACGCCAACCTACCTAGCCAGTCATCCATATGAGTGCAGTACAAAGTAAGCGTTCGCTCAGTAGGGCCATTGCCACAGCTCCGCTGGCAGTGCGCCGAGCAGCACATGGCCGTACACCGCCGGAGTGTCTCTCAGATGCGTTTCGGGCGGCCGTCATTGTACGGAAAGTGTTAGGCAATTGGTCTACTTCGCACCTCTTTTATCGCAGTGACAAAAAGATATTCGTAACTTCTTGACTTCGGTGTGAAATGGTGTTTCATTTTGTTAATGAAGTTGCATATAATACTTCAATACATAGTGCGAGCCTGTAATGCTTTCAATTTGAAAACGACAAGTGAGCTTTTCGTACAGAAGTGTGCAGTTCTTGCCAGAAGAATATCTAACAGAAGTAGAAAAACTTTTGTATCGGAAATACCTCTATGATGTGCAAATATACTTTTTGAAGAATGACAGACCTCTAAAGTGATATCTAAGATTAAAATGTCATGTCATAGTGCAATGTTTCCCAATTTTTGACATGTGAGATGAATTAAAATTTATACAAACCGCATGTAAAGAAAAACCAAATATATATTTTGAAAATCAAAATAGTTGCAGGAAAGTTAAAGATTGTTACCCGTGACAATACTTTTAAGGATAAGTTAGGAACTTCAGAAATATATACATTTTTGTGGATAGTAAATGTACCTTCATCTTAAAATATTTCTAACATAGATCCATTAAGAAATTACAATTATTCTAAAATTCTTTGATGTTCACAGTTCTTTTTGCTGGATTCTGTATTATGTATATGCCTGTACTTATAGATCTGTTAAATTATATCTTGACCGAAGAAGCGGAAAAATAATTTCATCAGCATTTAGCCTTTTTTTCTCTATTGTTAACATATTTTGAAGAAACAAATTTAAAATTAAGGAGAGATTCATGGATAAAATTTAGTATCATAGGTTTAACGTTCACCACGAAATTTTAGCCTTATATATGAAATTACTTTTTGGATTTTATAATTAAATATTCGGCCAGATATCCCAGCTTCCTGGTTGTGCTTAAAACACTTCTGTAACAGATAACATTAGTGCTGCTAATTCAACAATGAGATCACCTGCCGTCCTCGTTGGCACCTGCAAGTGGACTGTGAATACGGAGACGCAGCGTTGCGGAACATCGCCTGAAGACACGAATGAAGAGGAAGAAATGTAATTTTAACTTAAATCACTCTGATTCGCTTTTCTTTTTCTGACGGAAGTGTGTTACTGTTACGCGAACTGTAGAGTTCGTAACGATCTCATTGACTTTATCGTATCTTCAAGTTTGAATATGCAAGTAAATGGCTGAACAGTCAGGTCATCAGGGGTCATGGTATTCCGACTGCTCTGGGTCTGCTTCTTCCTTGGAGCTTCACGTGCTGCCACTACAGCTGCTCACCGGCAAGAGGTAAAGACTTATCTTTATGTCTAAGCATCTTGCTATGTCTGGTGTATAGGTAGTACGGAGGTGAAGCTTCACGTATTCTTAACCACCACATTAGTTGGGGAATAATTCTCTCTCCTTTCGCTCTATCTTTAGAGGAACAATCCCACGATACATATTAATTACTAGATTGAAGGCCATCAGAATCCGTTTGGACACGGCGATGAAAAGGAAATTGTTTAAACTGTCGGGAACCAGGTAGTCCAGCTCTAGTCATTTGCTTTTCGTTTCTCTCGCTTTTTGTCTGTGAATTGACTATAGATATCACATTCACTTCTCTACTGCTTAAAGGTAAGGTATGTAATCGGGTTACAGGTAAAAGCGACACATCACGAAGCTCGTCTGATGAAGACACATGTCCGTTGATGCGACGTTCATCGAGCTCACTAGGTATTCATTCATTCGTTTTGCTTAAATGTTCGTCATGAATCCCCATTGAATGGCGACTGAAATAAACGAGACCGCATTTTTTGCTGCATGTACCATTATATTGAATATGAATAATTTTTCTAACCAATTGGGCCACATATTGGATTCGATCCCCAACTTTTAGTGAGATCTCTAATACATAATAAATTTACGTCAAGCTGTACCGTCATATGCGTACGCGTATGCAGGCGATATGATATTTAATATTGAAGTTGGTTCTACGACTAATCACTGTGTTATCAATTCGAATTTGTAGAGATGAAATGCCACACATTATTAATTTTGTTATTACATTAAGAGAAACAGAATATCATGTTCCGGCCACCTTATTCTCAAGGTAAAAGACGAGTGATAAAGAGAATAGCCTCAAAATCCGTGTTTGGACTCGAATCCTGGCCACTCATTGGATAATTCGTTATACTTTCTATAATTTGTTTTCACCATTTACAGATACTTTCAGAGCGTTTAAGTTTGAGGCCGAGGATGTCTATTCTCGAGCACAATTTACATGTTTCAGAACTACAAACCATGCTCCTAAACTTGGTCTCTAAACTTAAAGTTCCCTCTACGCGATATTTACACACGCAGTTAAATATTGTAAAGATAATATTGCTCCTGTGCCTAAGCACCACCAAGACGGCGTAAACGTAAAGCTAACATTCCAGGAATGAATTTCAGTACTTTTTCCAGGTGTGTGTTCAGCGTAACGTTCCGGGCATTTTATACGCTGTCCTCACTGGAAGAAAAGTGAGGCCCAGAATTGTTCTGGGCTTAACACAGAAGAGAAGACCACAAATACACTTGTCACTAGCAACCAAATGAAGGGGGGCGGGGGATAAATCTGTTACACTAACCTTTTAATTTAACAAAGTGATTCTTATTGTTTGTGTTGACAGAACCCGCCATGCTAGTAAGAAAAGTAATGCCTCAGTAACTCGATTATTTGGGCTGTAAAAAGCCTTCGTTGTGGCATGGTTCCTTCAAAATGTGTTTCACGGTGGTAATCTTTGTTCACACAAATTCGATATGCGTGTCCAGGTACCGTGAGGAATAAGACACGCCAAAAGAGTATGGAACTGCTGTAACAGTCCAGCCCTCCGTTCAGGTTATTGCCCGTGAATATTGCGTGCAATTAGGCAAGAATCACTTCCCAAGTCAGTTTCCTCGTACATGGCTCCAATAAAATATTTGTTGTCCAAAACCTGAACAGCAATGCGAACATGTCGGCTAGGGATCGACTCTGTGGTCTAGTGGTCAGAGTTCCTGGCTACAGATCCAGAGGTCCCGGTTTCGATTCCGGGGGCTACCAAATTTTCTAAGTAGTAGTGGTCTCGAACGGGGTCCACTCAGCCTCGTGAGGATATTGAGGAGCTATTTCAAGGAAATAGCGGCTCCTGTCTAGAAAACCGAGATTAACGGCTATGGGGATTCGTTGCTCTGACCATGTGACACCCTCTATCCGCTAAAGTTGACACTAACTTCGCTGACAAGCGGCGGTCTCTCGGTCGGTATAGTTCGCTTGCGGACTAAGGACCACCGAGTTCTTTTTAGGCACAAACATAGCGTATTTTCCAAGTGTTTTGCTTTAAAATTTTACAGAGTTCATTGTCCTTGGCGTTCATGAATAGAGACACGTTATTTTTCCCTGAACTGCTTTAATTATTATATCAAAACCTGTTTCGAACAATGTCATGGCTCTCAATGGGATTATATTTAATGTAACAATTTACGTATTTATGCAATGAAGCTTCCTAAAAGCACAAGCAAAGCACCATTCCACATTCCCTACAGTTTCAGCTCCAGTTACATGCAGTAGAACTGTTCATAAGCAACACTGTGAGCACCTTAAATCCTGAAAAATAACGTTCTGGTCTATCTTCATGTAAAACAAAGTTATATTCGACCAATATTAAGAAAATTAAAGTGACTTGCATTTCTTTCAAAGTAGACGCCGAGTAACAGAGGCAATAGAAATACTTGTATGTAAAGTAGTTTAGGGGCATGCACTGTCTTCACTCGCTCGGATGCCAGGATCGTGGGTTCGAATCCCACTGAGGGCATGGATGTTTGTGTGCGTTTTTCTGTGTTTTTGTACAGGTAGAGGCCTTGCGACGAGCTCATCACCCACCCAAGTAGTCATACCGAACGTGTAAGATCTAGAAAAACAGAAGTGAACGGAGAAGTTCATGGAGGTAGGCCTAGGCCCACTGGGGCTGTAGTGCTAAGGGAAAAAAGGAGTTTAGGATCATTCTGACAAGGCGGGGAGACACAGTCTCCTCGTTAGACATCTAAATTTGTGCAAAGAACGCACAGTAACGTAATACTTAGGTGCGTACCTGCTGTGTCTGGGGCAGATCAGTAGTCTTCTAAGATAGGACTAATCTGGCTCGGAAGGTACCGGAGAATCTGAGCTCAGAGGCTCAGTATTCTAAAGGAATATTCTCGTGATTTCCTTCTGTACTCTCAGAACAATTCTAGGACAGTACCTCCAAGTTAGAGCACTCAGTTCCCAAATCATCGCCTGTATCCTCCTGCCATCTGATGCTAGACTCATATAGCGCGTGCGCTAACAATTACGAATCAAGGTGTGGTTGAATTAATCGTCTCATTTCACTGCTCTAATCGGTTCTTCACTTTAACGTCACACTCCTGATTCGGGTTAATAAAGTAGGTGAGAATTGTGGCTCGGTTTCGGAAGATTGAATTAAGGACAATTCTAAAGCTGTCCATTGGAAATTCGCCGAGGCGGAATAGAAACAATAGTTGACATAGTCGATTTCGTCTGGAGAAGGGGAAACGGTGGGAGCAAAGGGTCTGTCGTACGAACGTCATTTAGAAGCTCGGCAAGTTCCCCGCCGTGAGATGTTTACACACAATTACATTTCAAATAAAAATAATAAAAATAATCGTCATTGACAAAAACAATAATTTTCGAGATTTTGCCAGACTTGTCTACTCAGGACTGGTAATTGCACCATCCGGTTTTCACTTCTTTGGATTTCGCTAAGTCCAACCCTCAGCTTGGAAGACCAGATCTCTATATTTATGTCCCGCAGTGACAGGGTGGCCCACTTACACCCCCAGGCACCGAATTTCCTTCCTTGCCTTCCACGACTCGCAGGGCTACAGTGGAGGTATTCTAACCGGCCTCCACACGGGGATGAATTTTGTAATAAGAATAATAATAATAATGATATTAACAACAATAATAATAATAATTCAATAAAATTCAATTTTTGTTTATTAACATGCAAAATTAACAGCTCAGAGGCCAATTACAACAATAATAATTCAATTCAATTCAATTCAATTCAATTCTTTATTATTTATGTGCCATGTCAACAGCCGCAAGGCCAATTACAGACAGAGCACAGTGTAGATGAAAGTAATTCCATTA